AAATTACAGAGTTTGTATGGAAGAAAGGATAATTTCTGGGACTACACAATATGGATAAAACTCACACAAAGGGTCTTATCAATTAAGAGAATGATGAGTAGCCTGAAATGGGAAAACATTCTAAAAAGGTGTATTAAATACAAATTTTGATAGGCATCAAGCTATTTCTAGTCCAACTTATTTCTTGACAGCTTGCTGGCCAGTTCTATCAGAGCACGAGTTGGGCGTCCTTCAACGAAAAATTACAAACAAGATGTGAAAGTTAGAATAGATAGGACGCAAGCTTTCCTTGGCTTTATTATGAAGGTTTTATCACAGACTGGTCATTGCTATGTGCTGCATGATCAAAAAACATATTGTGACAGCTTATTACAGACAGACTACTGTCAATCAAATTAATCGTTAGAGTAGTACAGGGCTGTAACCAGGGGTCTTGCAGGGTGCGTGCACAGGGGATGGTAATGCAAAATATGTCTTAACTAAAAGCCATCTTGACAAGTGGTATATGTAAAGGTACATGGGTTCTGCTCTCTAAGAGTATAATATTGTATTAACTCGTCGTGACAGGCTTGGATCAAAACCATAACACTTATTCCAGATCTTAAAATGAGCTTTACAAAATACCTGACATTCCTTTTCCCAAGTATGGTATAGCGTCAGTATGATACATAACTCCCGCAATGTCTAGATGAGCCCAGTGTTTGCATTCTACAAATTCCTGAAATAATCAATCAAATCATGAAGTTAGAAACCATTGCCCTTATTTTTAGGGAGTGAATAAATGGCACAGAATTAATTTCACCTCTAGTCCAAACCCCCCTCCAAAATCTAAGTCGCAAGATAGCTCACAACACCTCTCTGACACCTAATGTCATACCTTTTGCCTTCCATGGGCTAGTGTAATTAAATGTAAATTTAAGTTATGATATTTAAACATGATATATATATATGTATATATTTCTGCATTCTTTTTAGTTATTATTYATATGATTTTATATGATTTTATCAACAATTTTGATTAATTAATTAATTATTCTTTTATTTTCAAATTTTTTCTAAGTATTTGTTAAGACCATTGAGACAGGTGTAATGGGCTTTATAAGAATTAAAGTTATTATTAATATTATTATTAATTTATCTTATGCCAAATGCCCAGGGAATGATTGCTTAGTCTCCAGAGCCAGAGTGGAATTTCAAAGTTGATTTTTGTAGAGGTGAGAAAACTGTAGAATGTTTTCTTAGGCCCAATCTTACACTCTCTTTTCTGACTCTGCAGTTGATGAGTCATCTGTGATTCATAACCCATGTCATCAAATATTCTATTATTTGAAATAATTAATATTAATACCTTTAAAAACATGGCCGCAGTACAAGAACCTGCACTCCTGAAAAAGAAAGCAGATATAAAAAAGTTGTTGAATCTAACAAAAAAATATTTTGGAGGATTTGAGTGTTGGTAATTAGCAAATGAATGAATAGATGGATGGATAAATGGGTGAAAGGATGGATTATTGCGTGGGTATTTGTGTATATAAATGGATGGATATAAGAAAGAAGTAATAAATGAATGAATGAATGATGGAATATAGAATTTATGAGTCAATAGATGATGGTTGGATGGATGGATGGATGGATGGATGGATGGACAGATGGATGGATGAAGTAAGAAAGAAATTCATGCAAAATCTACTTTATAGTATCGCAATACCTTGTTTTTCCTGTATTTAACAGGTCAGCTACAGGTGACTCTATTTGTTCACGATAATGCTTGTATAGCGGCATACGCCACATGCGCTCTCCAGTGTCAAACCCAGCCTGGAAATGTATCAGAAATAGTTAACTAACACTATTCTTTAGCATCTACTAACACCCTATTCCCCTCCCACCACACATCTTTCAAATATGACATGGAAAGTGTGGAATCGAATGGAATTTCTGTACTAGTTAATACCTGGTTTATTTGATGACAAAGTGCCAAAGAATTTGTAAAAACACCAACTGCTGCTTGTCCAAGACAGATGTCCATTGCACCTAAGACAATTCAATAAATTAAAATATTGTGTAATTTCAGAAATTATCCATACCACCCCCCCCCCCCCAACCCAACAGAGGAATTTGGAATTTCCGAAGGGTGAATGGGGGGGGGGGGGGGGGGGGGGGTCAGAGAAAGAACAAAATGACAGAGTTTGTATGGAAGAAAATTGGAATTTCTGAATTAAAAAACCTGAGACCTGCTCTTAATTATTACATCTGATTTCTGTGGCATTATGATACTGTARAAAAAAATGAGTGAGAGAACAAAAGTGAATTTTTCTCCAACTTGAGATAAAACTGACCTGTTAGAGTTGCAACATCTATTATTACAGAAGGAGAAAGAGTGTTGGCATAGCACAGAGCATCAGCTAGAATAAGACGGCCTTCAGCATCAGTGTTTTCAACCTATATCAAATAAGATCACAATATATTGAAATATAGAGTTCACCAGTGATATAAATCACGAGCCCTAAATTTCTTACCTCTATTGTTTTCCCATTACTTGCTGTAATGACATCCCCTGGTTTCAAAGCATTTGAAGACAGCATATTTTCACAGAGCGGTGTCAATACTGTRACATTGATTGGCAGCTTTAGCAGTGCAATGGCTTCCATAGCAGCACAGACTGTTGCTGCACCGCCCATATCTGCTTTCATTTGACCCATTCCTTTGGCTGGTTTTATAGAAATTCCTCCACTGGCAGAATGCAAGCAAAGTAAGGTATATTTAGCATAAGTYGTACTAGTACTCTCTCCTCCTACCCCTAGGGTCTCAGGTTTGATTCCTGGACTTGGCATCACATGTGAGTATAAAGTTTGTTAGATATTTTCYTTGATTCAAGGGTATTAGCTCTGGGTTCTATAGCTTTTCTCCCTCTGCAAAACCCACTAAAAGGCTAAATTTCAATTTAATTTAGCTATGGCTGATTTTAGGTCAGCCTTGAAGAGGTTGTTTCAGGGTTTGATATAAAATTGAAGGGTTGACAGGTGGTTGGTTATTCAGCTGTCCAGATCCTTCTACCTCTGTCACAGGTCTAGGGTATAATATTTGCCACTTTGGACCACATATCAATCCACTTGATCATTTCTTTGAATCATTATAATTATTGGTTATAATGCTTGAGAACAATAGTATACTGGTAGATGGTACTTCATTTAGTCTGGTACGTACGCACCTGTCAAATGTCACTCCTGTTGAGAGGAAAATTAACAAAGGATTAATATAACTTACTTGTATCTGGTTGTTGTGAAGGAGGTCATGGGGTCAAGCTACAACCAAACCTACACTTGGGCCTGAAATATCATAACGACCCAACCCTTCTTTGACTGCTCCACTTTCTGGGGCTAGATGTTCCTCGACAAGCATTTGCAGCCTCCCCAAAAAGGGAGTAGTCAAAGGAGGGGCCATTGCCGCATAGTGTCATAAAATATGATATATAAAAATCGATATGTACCTTTTCCAACAAAGACTAGTGGTTTTTGTGCATTATCTTTTGCTCCACGGTATGTTATTTCCATGAACAAGGATTCTTCAGATGATGCTTTCCCAACACTAAGGAATGCTCCCATTTTCATCTCCTCAGCCCATGACTGACCTCTAGAATTATAATTATTTAATCACRATTTGATCACAATATTTATTTACTGAAGACTCCAATAGACCTCGGCTCTGGAGCCCTCAAGCGTAATGTTGTCCCATTTCAGACCACGTGTCATTCCCTTGAGAATAATATTCTTTGTTTGAGTCATATCCATATTCATGTCTCTTCTCATGTGCAACCGAGCGCAAACCTTAAACAAAGAAATGATACTCTAGGGAATGGCACGCGGTCTGAAATGGGACAACATTATGTCAGAGCCGAGGAGGTCTATTGCAAGGAGAGTAAGTAATTTTTAGGTAAGGGGATCTGCATGAATCAATAAGACAGGCATTATTTATGAAAAATTCCAGGCACATGATTGTGGGTCTTTGTGTTAATTTTCACCTAAGTACCATGGGAAGAAGCACAGGTAGAGTACCACCCCCATAGCCACAAGCCTGACCCCTAAACCTGTCATCATATGGCCCTTTTACAAGGGCCAACTTGTAAAACAAGAATAATTTTATTTATAACAGCGAGAGAAGGGACAAGAGGATTACCTGACATGAATAGTAATGTTGTCCAGTTGACCAAGTCTATTACTAACAGTCTCTGTAAATATTTTTGGTGTCATAAGATTAGCTGGCGTCTCCATCAACTCCCTGGCAAAGTTCTGACTGCCAGCAAAGATCTTTCCTTTCCCCCAAGACTCTACCCCAGATGTGCTGAAGTTAAAATCAAACTAAGATTAAAATAGTGCCTTGCTCATGCAGGTCTTTGACAGTGTTTCAGYCTTTCTTGTTCAATGCTTAAGATAATGGCCAGACATTAGATATTTGTCTGGCCAAGACTGGGACCTGTCCAATCAAATCTTTGCTTTAACAGTCATTTTGACCAAAAACGTTGAGCCAAAAACGAGGTATGACTAAGCTAAAACTAATTTGTCCTGTGTTTATGACTGCCAACTGATCAGCCATTATTTTAAGCCCTGCTCATTCCACAAGCAATTAAGATATTCAAGCTGCAATATCCAAATTACATTTCTAAGAGCCCCCTCCCACTCAAAACTATTCTCAGGAGTCCCTGCAATATTTTTTAAAATTTTTTTAAATTTTTTTAAAATTTTATTTATTTATTTATTTTTTGTTACCGACCTCGGTTGAGTAACCTGCAATATGCCATACCCTAGTTTATCCTGTAAAACAACAGCTGATTCATTGGGTTCCCCAAAGTTTCTAAGCTCTGCTGGTAATGCAAAACTGGAAGATTGGGATGATTCTCCCATTTTCAAGATTCTGAAGACCCCTTTACTCAAAATTATCTGGAACAGAGCTGGCTTGGTCAAATGGAAATTTAAGGATATGAAGATTGTTTACCTGTCAAGGTATTTGCCTTGTGCATATAACTTCAACTCAACTGGTAACTTGTGTTTTTTGGGTTCTTTCAGTTTATCAAAACTGAAGAGTGAAAGCATAGAACCTTCAGCAGCAGCTGTTGGTCAAAGACACACAAAAAACATGGTGTTAAATCCCTTCTGCCTTTTGCAATTGCACAAAAAGGCTGCTTAAAAAAACAAATCAATAGTAATATTTTTTACATTACTTACAGTAATTTTATTTATAGTGTTTAAAATGTCTGGAAGAATACCTGAAGAATCTGTGAATGGTTCTATTTCAACATGTTTTACACCAGCTTCTCTAAGGGCTTTTGCACCTGCTACATTTTGAATAAATTTAACACATTAAGACCTGAGTTGTAATTTCTTATCCCTAGTCTAAACTATCAGTCTACTGCTGTCAAACTTTTAGGATGGTACATTTGTTATATGTATATGGGGATCACTTCATCTGTCTGTCTGTCAATCTAGCTACTGTCTGTCTGTCAATCTGCTGTTTGTCTGTCAATATGTCAATCTGCTGTCTGTCTGTCAATCAGCTGTCTGTCTGTTAATTTGCTGTGTGTTTGTCAATCTGTCTGTCTGTCTCATGATGTTTGGTTATATGGATTGGCATACTTACCACCAGCAGCATGTCGTATATTAGCAGCTTCCATTAGTTCTTCTCCCATTTCTGTATCTGAGGAAGGGTCTTTTTYCCCCAATCCAACAGCAACCACACAGGGATAGTCCTTAAAGTTCAAGAAGGAAGGTAGAAAATAGAAATCAGCTTCAATGAAATCAAGATGCTCAGCGGCTGTCAGTAGATTAGCCCCTTTACCTCAATAGTCACTCTAACAAGTACAAGAAGTAGGGTACATGCTACATGTATGCAGCCTGTGCCATTATATATCGTAATCTGGTTAAAACTTTTGCACTGCATGATTAGATAGTTACCCTATCCAGTCCATAAAGTGTTTTGGTTTTGCCAAGTTTTCCTTTGAATCCAGATCTGGATCAAAAACAGTGACACATTTAAAATAAAAACAAAACAGTTTTTTTTTTGAAGAAAAGATGAAAACTTGAACATACAGTTTCAGTATCTCTTCGAATCTCCCTGAAGTTCTGCCATTAAAACTCTCAGCTGTTCTTGTCAATGTAAAACCAGTTTGTGATTGTCCTTGTGATTCATATCCACCAAGAACAACCCCATTCTCTATCACATGCTGTTATTATAAAATAATAATAATAATCAAAATAAGTCACATTCCTTCTAAAGTGAATTCATGGTTCCACCAGACAATAGCAAACCAACCACCATTGCAGTAATTCTCCCAGTGGAATGAAAATCTTGTCCCACAAATGGCCACTGTAACAGAGTATCTTCTTTAAAGAAATGATACTACAAGGATTATAAGGCAATTTTATCTTTATTTTCACTGTACAGTAAACAATTGAACAATTTATAATCACAAATATCAGGGCTTCAAATTCTGCGATATCTTAGCTTAATAAGTTGAGCTTGTGGGACAAACCAATGGTAACTAAGGGAGTCATAATGTTTGGGCTAAAAACAATGACTGGTCAGTGAACATTGTCTGGACATAATTGGCAATTATCTGGCCAAACACCTCGGTTAGGCCACTCCTTTTGACTAGTCACATATTGATGAGTTCAATGCAGCAGGTCATCATGTTTAGCCATTGAGCAGCCAATATTGTAGCTTTGTATTGGACTACAAAAAAAACCATACATTTTCTTGCTGGAATAGTCTTTATCACATGCAGCTGAGCCTTTGGCYCAGTGGTATCCTAAATGAAAGTACATCAAAGTGAGGCTATCAAGTTGATCTTGAATTATCAATTTCATAGACCAAATTCAAAACTCGCACCGATGTGAGGCTTAGTTGTGAACAAAGGGATCTGGCGTGACTGAAAGTAATCTGGCGTGATTCAAAAGTCACGAATCACGCCAGATTCCTTTGTTCACAACTTAAGCCTCATATCGGTGCGAGTTTTGAATTTGGTCTATGAAAAACTTTGTAAGATATATGGACTACCGAACATGAGCTGTAAATTAACCTATGAAATAAAGTCCATATCTTACATGTTTGCAAATTTATCAAGAGCTCAGCCCGACCATATTAAGCCTGACTTTAGCGTACACTCATTAAGGATACTGCTGGGCCGTGGACTATTGGTTGCTAAGTTCACAAGAAATACCACTGGTATCCCAAACTCTTATTTATTATTTATAGCAAAACTAAGATCAAGCAAATACAGATACCGATCTTTAAATATTTTTATTTTGTTTCCTTCAATATTCGATCAAAAACAGCTAAAGTAATTTAACACAGGGTTCCCGGTTAAGACAGAAGTTTTAAAGAATTTCCTATAAAATTATTATAAAGGCCAATCTTCGCGATCGTCCTTTTTCAATAAATCGTTGATGGACAGAGCTTAAAAGTGCTATTTTAAACCAAAGTGAGCTCATGTTAAAGGTTTATCGCCTTGCTCGACTATGCGGGGCATCCACTGAAAGAATTTGCATTTCCTGTTTAAATTTCCTTCCTAAATGACTATTTTATACATAAATGCAGTCCAAAATAAAAAGCAACCTACCTCAGGGACGGAGCACAAACCTCTGATTTGCAGAGACAATCTACGTATCGAATAACAACGTAAAAAACATTGAGGACGGCCGTAAACCACGTTCGCCGCCATTTTGGACTGGACGAAACAGGAAGCCCAAAGTTCCGACGTGCATCCGATGGCTTTCCGAAAAAATGACGATCAGGCCTTGGCCATATATGGACCAGGTGGGAAGTAAGTGTAAAGAAGTGGGTGAATGGTAAGGGGAAATACCCTACTCCCTCTCTCTCCTTGATTTGCTAAATACTGGGTGTTCATTAAGACCTTACTCTATACAGAAATGCATTGGTAAAGCATATCTTAAACAGGGGAAGGGAGTAAGTTAGTTCACCTCGCCTGTCTGGGAAACAGTAGTGCACTTGCCTTAATCTGTGGTTCCAGATTCAATTACTGGACTCAGGTCACATGTGAGTAAAGTTAGCTTGGTCTCTCCTTTGATTCAAAGGTTTTTAAACTGGTTTTTCATGTTTTCCTCCCCAGTGGCGGAACCAGGGGGGTTGAAGGGGTCCACGGAACCCCCCTTGAAGGTTTGATCTTTTAGGTAATAGAAATATGTCTTATATAAATTTCAATTCTTATATTTTTATAATGTTTAATTTACCTTTAGGTTCCACTAGATAGTAAATTAGGTGATTAGATCCAATTTTTTGTCAAACATCGACTAAACAAAAGAGAATTATACACAGTTTAAGAAATGGAACCCCCCTTTGAAAAATCCTGGATCCACCACTGTTCCCAACGCAAAACCTAACAGTCTCAATTTCAATTTAATCTATGAGTTAGCCATGCTACAACTTCAATCAGCCTAGAAATGGTTTCAGGAAATACAATTTGGTGGTTAATGTTTACATGGCCCATCAATCAAAGATATGCACACAACTAAATGAATGATGCATTTTGTTTTGACTTTTACATTTATTTCAGACATTTTTATCTTTACAATAATTAGAAGTATACAGTCACTTGGGTTTGTCCCATTTTTTTCATTTACTCTAGAGAATAACATAAGTTACACATTTCTGGTATTTATTTCCACAACTGACTCACGTTTTGAGTCCATAAAACATTTTTATGGTCTAATGGGCTATCATTAGTGAACGAAATAAAACCTACGCCAAATGCCTGTTTGAAAACTTGTTAAAAACCTAAAAGAATCTGGCATTCTTTATCCATAAATTACTTGATATTCTTTTGGCAAACAAAAACCTAGGTTGTAAAAGTTTAAAATAAGAATACTTTACATAAGTGGACAGCTAATGCACTTGTGGTACATGATACATTTGAGAAGTGAGATTATTTAACCCATGAAATGAAATCTATTAGTCAGATGCTGATGGTAAAATGAAAAGGAAAGAAACAATAGAGTTAGTGTCTAATAAAGGCTTTGAGACTAACTTCTATTTCATGGGTTAAAAGGAATTACTATTTAAAATAGCTGCTATCTTAAAGCACTTATGCAAGAAGATCTACTTAATCAAAGTAATGCACTTTATTTTTAAAATAAGATAACTAAAAAAAACATTTTATAAAGAAATAATGGACTGAAATGTTATGAATGAATTATAATCAAGAAACATAAGATATATTTATCACTTTATTTTTTTAGAAATAAAGTGCATATTAGTTAGGAATACTGACAGCAATAGCAGAGTAGAATGTGGAAGAAATCCTTTCCTAGATTGTGTGCATTTTTAGTATCCACTATCAAAGCAGAAATACAGAGCATGTAACCATTGTTCCATTTAACAAGTCCTACATTATGCAAATAAAAACATTCAGTTGACACAAGCTTTGAAATATTAAGACTATAGCAGCAATTCTTCTTATTGGAACTATGTTCTCTTCCTTAACATTAGTTACTATTGGAGCAGAGCCTCAACTTATCCTTATCTTCATCAAATCATACAAGTTTTTGCTCATTAAACCACATTATTAAAGTAAAGAAACAAGACATTACTGTTTGGTTAAACCCTCGCTCATTCCTAATAATGGCTGGTTGTAAATTTTATCACATGAATTGTGATATAAAGCAAAACTTTAAAATTCAATAGCACAAAATCTCAATGAGATAATTTGATGGCTACGCAAGCTTCATTTAACTTTTGAAATGGTCTTCTCAAATAAATCTAAAATAACATGCTAAGCATGCTTATTTAGACTGACTGCCATTTTCATGACAAATAAGAGAAAACCTTTAGTCCAGCATGTAGAGTTGATTGGACATATGATCTACTTGCACTGTTCAATTGTTTGTCTATTCAGCTTTTTCTGTCTTTTCGTGATGGTCATCTTTACCTCGCTTGCTGAATTTCTTCTTCAGTGCGTCTTTAAAACTCTTCTTCTTCTTTACTTTGGTCTTTGATGGACTTCCTGGTTCTGGAGATTCTGCAGTAGCTCCACCTTCGCCATCTTCTTCCTTTTTCTCATGCTCCTCCTTGTCTTCTTCCTTCTTTTCTTCTTCTTTCTCTTCTTCTTCTTCCTCAGGGGTTTTGAGATGAGTCACTTCGTCTTTGACCTCTTCACCATTGACAAAAACCTTCTTGTTTTCAGTGACCTGCGTTTCTTGTGTCACCTCTCCATCCTTATCAACCAAACGTGACACTACAACCGTTGTTTCTTTGATTTCTCTCTTGTGTGTTACGCCTTCTGGTGTCTCGGCATCTGCAACTCCCTTCTCTTCTTCAGGCCATGCATCTGGTGAGGATTCGACAATGACATTGGTAGTGTGCATGACTATTTCATCATCTTCCTTCTTTTCAGTCTGCAAATGAAAAGATGATAAATGATATGATGTATATAGCGCCTTTTCTACTTGTACATTATGATCAAAGATGTTTCGCATTGAATTATGAATTCAGATTACTGTTTATGCAATTCATAATTCATGAACAAGAGATGTTGTATGGGAAGTGGCAATGAGGTTGGTCACTGACAAGGTTTTTTCCCCGTAAAGCCTCAGTGGCCAAGCGGTTGAGATCTTGTCTAGCAAACGAGAAGTCAGTGGTTTGAGTCCCACGAGAACCCAACTGAGGCAGATTTTTTAATCTGCTTATACACTCGATGTAGCATACACTTAACATATAGGGTCTTTTTCATTCTCAGTGGTTCTTCTACATCCCTCTGATATTGTCTCGTAAAAAGGACTGCCATTTTAAGTGGTTATCCCAACCACCAATCATTCTAATAAAGTATTATAATTAATTGTAGATTTTATTACAAAGGCACATTTCTTCTTAGTTATTTTAAGTCCCTGGGTGCTGGTTTGGCMAGGGCCTGAACCCATAAAGTCTTGCAGAATAGTAATGTTTTTGTACTTAATTAAAGTGTTGTGTTAAACTAAAGACATAAGTCCTGCTAAGAGCATATATTTTTTCTCATCATTTATCGCACCAAATGTGGCCCATTTCTATTGTAATTTAAGATTCGTGTACCTTGATTATATCCTTGTCAACTTTCTCTGGCTTTTGATCCTTAATAATGACTGTCTCATCAACATCCTCTGGTATATCACTCTCCTTTTTGTACTCGGTAGACTTGACAGGTGTGTTAAGCCACTTCACTCTATTACGATAGGTATTGGCACGCCCTGTTGAGTGAGATCTACTAGGCTGTTTGTCAATTTCTGGGGTGAAGAAGAGATGTGCTCTTGTGGAGGTTGTTGTTGCTGGTGATGTTACTTCTCTCGCACTTGGCTTATCACCAATGAAAACATCGGGGTTCTTGTACAAATGGCCAGTTCTATAACCCTAAAAAATCAATGATAAAACCACTCATTAAAATGTTGTGTTTTCTCAATCTCTTCAATATACTCTAATACCAAAGAGAATAGAAAACAAAAAAGCATGGCCACCATGTTAAATGGTTGAAATAGCAAAAGAAATTGGGGGAAACCATCGCCAAATTCAACCCACATAGCAGATATATTTTTTTACTGTCGTTCTTCTCTAACCAAGAACACTCCAGTTTATTTTATTTTTTATTTGTGTAAATATGATTTTATCCTTCCTTTTTCTTTCATCTCCCTGAATTAGGCTTTATAGACTTTCAATACATGTAACTCAAATTATATATTTTTTGATTCGTAATCTGATTGGTTGAGTAACTCGAGTGTTCACGTCTAGAGTAGAACAACCGTAATATTATTATTGCAATCTTCGAAAAAGCGGATACAATACCAGCTAACTCTAATAACCCATGGCTAGTACTTGTAACACAGATCTCACAACTTGGCTACTCACCCTAGAATCAAGCATACGCATGTATGCCTCAAATTGCAATTCTCCAGTTTTCCACTTTGTCTTGGACTGATTTATTGAATCATTGCTATGAACATTAACATCATGTTTTCTTGCTTGCTCATCAATTTTAAGCAGATTATCTACACCAGCAGCCATTGCACGGACCTATCAAATGACAAACAAGTTAGTATCTTTTCACTGGATTGAATGATGACTGCAAAATAACAAAAATTATAACAGTTTTTTACTGTGCAAACACACTGCTGTTCAAATGCCAGTCATGAGTACCAACAAAATCATTTTTATTTTGGTCATACCACATTTCTGGCTCAACATTATTGGTCAATATGTCCAGCGAGGCAAAGATTTGACAAGTTTCAATTCTGGCAAAACATTGTCCGATATCAGATATTACTATTTCCCTAGATGTGATGTTATTTTAGCTCTCATAATAAATAACTAGTAAGTGTTCCTGAAAGTGAGCGGAAATTTTTTTCTTACCTGCTGTTCACAAGCTTTTACTGCCCAAAAGGCAAGATCAAATGCTTCTTCTACAGTTTCTCCACAACATACAATTCCATGATTCCTTAAAATCAAGACCTAAGTGAAAGAATGGAAAACGTTCAATACAGATTACTTCAGTAATCATACAGGTTGATTACATCAAAATGGGTTCCCACAGTTTCTTATCAGATAACAACGAACACTGAGCTGATTTATTTGAAGCAGATTGTTGGGTTTCGTAGAGAGAGAAAAATATGATGAACCCAGAGGAAAACCCTTAACAGTAAAAATTGTAAAATTTGATGTCTCAACAAAATAAGGTTTTGGTAGACATCAATTGAGTTTTTCCATGACGTTGTTAGAAAAAGGGGCACATACATCACATTTAAGTGTTGTCAAAATGTCTTGATGGAGGTCGAACATCAAAACTACCTTTGTCGTGTGGATTTCAAGGTCACACATGTAGAAAACTCTATTCTCACATGCGATGGCAATAAAAGAAATCAATGTGACCTCAGATGAAAGACACATGTGCACTACTGCTACAACACCTTTGGCTTGCCATTGATTTCAAGTTAAATTACATTCCATACCTTGCTAGTATCTCCCAAGTCCTTTACGATGGATTGTTTTTCCTCATCGTCCATCAGGATGCCTTCATAATTGTGGTAAGTAACTTCTCCCAACTAAAGAATCATTTAAAAAAATGAGAATCAAAATCTTTATTAAAAAACGGTGATACAAATGCAAGACAAAGATAGACTGTTAGGGTTAAGATCTTATGGTCATTATATAACAGGAAGTAATAATAAGGATGCTAGAAAGGAATGGTCTTTCAAGAATATTATATGGCTTCATAGCTGGATTTGTGTATAACACTGAAATGGCTTCATGGCTAAATTTATGCATAACACTAAAATGGCTTCA